AGATACTAAGAGTCAACGAGAATGAAATCACAGAAACACATCTCAGTACACAGAGATAGCAACAGGGGATCTCCCGGGATACCGTCCCGTAGTCCCAAACGTAAATGTACAGAGGATCTCTCGAGATACCGTCCCATAGTCCCAAACGTAAATATGCAGGGGGATCTCCCGGAATACTGTTCCGTAGTCCCAAAGTAAATATCCAGTACAGGGGGATCTCCCGGGATACCGTCCCGTAGTCCCAAACATAAACGTGTAGGGGGGTCTTCCGGAATACCGTTCCATAGTCCCAATGTAAATATACAACTCAATAAATATAAACAACAGTTTCAACAAGGAATTCTACAATTTAGATTAAGTTCATATCAAAGAAGACAGGTAATTTTACACTAAACATGCTGCACAAAGTTCAGGTAGGCAGTTAAGACAGTTAAGGCACGTAGGCATGCTTTCCTAAGCTAAACAAGATAGTTACATATACTAGTATTGCTTAATTAAAAGGAAAACATATATTTGCTTAATGAAAACGGGGTTTTTTTCAACAAATAGCCCGTGTACGCACTCGTCACCTCACGTACATGGCATCATATATCAAACAGTACCAAATCCTAAGGGGAGTTTCCCCACACAAGGTTAGGCAAGCCACTTACCTCGAACCAAGCTCAAATCAATCTGAAATCACGCTCTTGCCACGAGTATCCCACTCCGAGTGGCCCAAATCTAATCAAATCAATTACATAGCGTAAATATAGCTACAAGGAACTAATTTAGCTAATGAAATCAAAGCTAGGGAAAGAAAATAGAAAAATGCCAAAAAATTCTCCCCGGGCCCACGTCTCGGAATCGGGTAAAAGTCACAAATTATGAACACCCATTCACTCACGAGTCTAACCATACCAAATTCACTCAAATTCGATACGAAAATCTTGAAAAAATCCCAAAATTCGGCCTAAGAACTTTTCTCAATTGTTTTCCCAAGTTTCACCCCAAATCGGATATTAAATGATGAAATTAAGCATAGATTAATGGGATATAATCAAAAAGGAGTTAGAAATCATTACCTACAAACATCCTCCGAAATCTCTCCAAATTTCGCCTTCTACCGAGCTCTCAATCAAATTTTGGAGTTATGAACTCAAACCCTCGTTTTTGAACTTTAAATTCTGCTAGTGATTCCTTAATCACTATCGCGAAAATGGCCTCGCGATCGCGAAGAACAATCTCTCCCTCCTCAGAATTTTACACTACGCGAACGCGATGCAATAGGTGCCCAGACCTACGCTATCGCAGTTGACCTTACCCGACCACGAAGAGCAAAGCGTTTGGCCCAGCTTTGGTCCACTTAACATTACGCGATCGTGACCTGCCCCTCGCGTTTGCGATTCTCCCACTGGCCACACCTTCACGATCGCGAGCTCCTCTTCACGATCGCGAAGAACAAATCTTCTTTAACAAAACGCCAGCAAAATCTGCCATCTTCTTAAGTCCAAAAATGTCCCGTTGAGCATGCAAAACATACCCGACGCCACCGGAACCTCAACCAAACATACCAACCAATCCTAAAATACTATACGAACTTAGTTGAGCCCTCAAATCACATTAAACAACGCTAAAATCACAAATTACCCTCCAATCCAAAACTTAATGAACTTGAAATTTTAAAATACTACAACCGATGCCGAAACCGACCAAACCACGTTCGATTGACCCCAAATTTTGCACACAAGTCATATTCAACACTACGGACCTACTCCAACTTCTGGTATCGGATTCCGACCTTGATATCAAAAATTCCACTACCGACCGGGAACTCCAATAATTTAACTTTCACCATTTCTAGCCTAATACGGACCTCAAAAACACAATCCGGACACTCCTTTAAGCCCAAAATCACCCAACGGAGCTAACAGAATCGTCGAAATTCTATTCCGGAGCCGTATTCACACTGTTCCGACTACGGTCCAAATCCTAAGACTTAAACTCTCATTTAGGTAATAAGTGTCCCAAAACACTCCGAAACTCAAAACGAATCATCCTGACAAATCACAAAAGAAGAAAATAGATACGGGGGAAGCAGTTAATAGGGGATTGGGGTATTAATTCTCAAAACAACTGGCTGGGTCTTTACATCCGCGCTGTTCGACTCGACGGCAGTGCACAACTTAAATATTATGTTGGATCAAGCTGTACGACCTCGACATAATTTGCGCCTAATAATTCTTTGGAACTCTTCATGATCGATATTGCTTAAATGTCTTGAAATGTAAGTTGTTAAATGATATAACAGAATTTGAAATTTATATTTGTGAAAGAAGAACTTATCATTTCCTGTTATTGAGCTTACAGTATTATTCATGAAATTCATGCTTAGTATAATACTTTAATTATATTATTGTTAGCCTATAGTAAGCGTCAAAGTCGACCCCTCGTCACTACTTCTTCGAGGTTAGACTGGATACTTACTGGGTATATGTTGTTTATGTACTCATATTATACTTTTGTACTTAATTGTACATGATCTGAGGCAGGTGCATCTAGTTAACCGTCCGGCGCACAAAGTTGATCCCCACCTCGAGACTTCACGGTGAGCTAACTTCCAAGTCGTTCTGCGGTAGCTGGAGTCTCCTTTATGTTTTACTTTTCTGTCTATTTCCTTTCAGACAGTAGGCTAGTATTCTTTTGTATATTCTACTAGATTGCCTTCACACTTGTGACACCAGGTCTTGGCACACACACTAGTAGACTTATATGATTTCGATTTGTACTTATTGCTTCCGTTTATTTACGTCACCTTGCAAACTTCTAAATCTTTTAACAAATAAGGAAATGTTACTACTTAATAATTTATTAAAACGGAAAACCACTAGTTGATCGGTGTTGGGCCCCATCACGGCCTGTAATAGAATTGGGTCGTGACAGAACAAGGAGTTCATATGGAGAAATTAGATAGAGTTGGCTAATAAAGTAGATAAGTTATAGCCGACCGGCTAATATTAATAAAATATAAAGAGTAGGTTTATTTCTAGTTTATTATTTTAATGGGCTGCTAATCTAGTTAATTGTTCTAAAAAGAGAAAAACGTAAATAGCCAGCCCACTATATTTTACAACTCTCCCTACCCCTAAAAACTAATTTATAATAGCCCTAAAGAATGGACGAGCCCCTTCAACTTCGAAGCAGCTTCCTTTGTACTTTCCTTCGTAGGGGAGGTAGGAAAAAGAAAGAGATTAGATAATTATAGAGCAGATTCAGATCCAACCAGCAAGTTGTCCAGTGCAAAGATAATCATTGATGCTGGGAGTTTGTATAAGATAGCGTCCACGGAGATGGTAGATCAGTTGGGGCTGGCATTGAAAGACGGCTTTCGGAATAGGCTTTTTGGTACTAGCTTGAGGAAGAGACCACTGATGCTGGAGTTGTCGAAGCTTGGGCTGTCTACTATGGAATGAGGCTAGCATTGGAAAAGCGGAGATCAGCCTACCTATCTAATGATATCGGCCTAACTCAGATAGTGGAACTCCCCTTCTTCCTTCTCGCCTTGGTTTACGCCACGTTATTGGAAACTCCTATATAGATATCGTTCTTCATTTTCTCTCTCCTGCTTTCTTCACAATTTAGCGAAACCTAATAATGGAGTTTTTCTATACAAAAGAAAATTATCAACACAAGTCAAAACAATCTCAGTGTAAATCTATTTTCTATCATCCTTTTTATGTATATACTCTGTATAAATATTGTATAGCTTAATTTCATAGCTTATTACACATTATACACTCATTATGCAGTGTATGCTTGATATATAATCAAATATATGTATAATTACTTTGTAATCAGTGTATAATCTTCGTATAATTAATAATTATATATTATACATTAATTATACGCTGAGTATACGGTGATGCTACACTTTTCTTTCAATCACAAAACCAGAAATAAAGACAAAACACCATAAAAGTGAAGAGAATTAAAACAAGAAGAATTTTGAAGTCAAATCTCTAAATATGAAGAGCCCAGTACTTTGTCTCGACTCTGAAGAGAAGAATTGATCTCCAGTGAAGAAGTTTTTGAGTTCAAAATAAAAAAACTTAGATCTAAAACACGAAACTTTTTGGGCAAATTATTGTTCAAAATTTAATTGTGGTGTTAGTTTTGAGCTTAAAACCGCGACTCAAACATGGAATCGATGATTTGTTGAAGAAAAATTTGACTGCCATTGTCAAAGAGGTTTGGGTAGAAACAATCCAGATCTGAATGATTGATTAGACTCAATTGGGTGTGGTAAAAAAAAAAGCGTTGAAACTGTATTGATAAGCTTGATTCCGAAGTTTTGAAATGATTTGGAATTGAACTAAGGTTGAGTAAAAATAAAAGACAGTTGGGAAAGAAAGATATAGAGAACAAGGCGTTTATATAGAGAAATTAGATAGAGTTGGCTAATAAAGTAGATAAGTTATAGCCGATCGGTAAATATAAGTAAAATATAATTAGTAGGTTTATTTCTAGTTTATTATTTTAATGGGCTGCTAATCTAGTTAATTGTTCTAAAAAAGGTGAGAAACTAAGGACCCGTTTGTTTATACGTTGTATTGATTTTTATTTTGTTTTTTAAAGATGAGTTTCCAAGTTTTAATTTACCACTTTTTCATGTAAAATTTCATTTTCCCCCATATCATTTGCGTCGTTGTTTCTTTCGGCGTTTAAGTTTCGTGCAAAATCGTGCTAATAATGTATAAATTTTTTGTAACATCAAATTAAAGTTAGCGACAATAATAACTTATTATAACAAACCGTCAAATCTAATAAGTTAATGTGAAAAATAAAGTGCTATAGCCAATTTAATTGGTTGTTGATAGTGTAACAATTTTTTTTTTTTTTTGGTAATTAAATCTTTTGTATTACCAGGGAAAATATTTACAAGTAAATCAAACCCTTACAAGATACCTTTTTCCTATACATCACACCCCTCCCCATGAACTGTTATTTATACTTGTATCTAACTATTACAGTGGGTACCAATCTAGTCTATGTAGCATTCCCACTGTATGTTTGGTACTTCGATAATGTAGCTCTTGAATGATCTTCTTACTTACTGCTTCCCAACCTGTCACCTTTGCTTGAAAAATTCTAGTATTCCTTTCTTGCCAAACATGGTATACTGTTGCTGCTGCTGTCATTTTGTACAACTCTGCAGCAGCTGTTTTCCTTTTAGTCTTCTTCTCAGCCCATCGTAGTTCTTCATCCCAACCAGCTACAGGTCTTCTAATTCCTTGCCATGCTAACAGTGTGCTCCACAATGCTTTTGCATATGTACATTCAAAGAACAAGTGCTGTATAGTTTCATTGGCTTGCTTGCACAAGACACATTCCTGATCCACCTGCATTCCCCACTTCTGCAATCTATCCTTTGTGTATAGCTTCCCATGAGCTGCCACAGTTAGTATAAATGTCCATCTTGTGCATCCTGTATTATGGCAGACTACCCTTCTCCAACTAACTTTCTCAAATCTTCCACGCAGCCTGTGATATATGTTTTTAATTGAGCAGCTTTGCATATTCATGATATCTTCATAGTTGAGCCCTGCCTCCATGAATGTCTCCTTTGCTTTTATGATCTTATTCACCATCCAAGATGCTTGTTTCAGTTGAACATCCCATATGTGCCTTCCTTTAATGTAATAGCTGTGTATCCATTGGATCCACAGTTTCTTTTTCTCCTTGCACAAATTCCAGAATTGTTTGCAGATGGCAGACTTGTTCCACATAGCTATATTCATAATGTTGAAGCCTCCTGCAGATTTAGGTAAACAGACTTTCTCCCATGCCAGTAGAAAGTCCTTTCTTAATTAATTATTTATATTACCGGTATTATAACTTAAGTACTTTCTTAATTAATAATGAAAAAATATATATAGCATGATTCCATCTTTACCATAACTTTATTGTTAGTAAGCGTGTCAGAATTTTAGTGGGAATAAAAAACATGTAAATTTTAGGAAGTAATATGTTAACTGTATACTTGTTGGTTTCCTAAAAGAAAAAATGAAAAATAGACGAAGAACCAACAAGGATTTAATCTGAAAGCAACCTCTCTTAGGTGTACCGATAAAACAGAAAGTTCCCAAAAAAAGATTATTATATGATGGGATAGTATGACTTTATTATTGAAAAAGATAGTATAAAAATAAGAAGTTTGGTTCGAATTGTGTATTGTGATTTTCAAATTTTTAATTATGTTCGATAGCGAACCTTAACTAAAGACTATATGCATCCACTACTTGACAAGCATTGATGGCAAATCTCTCTTAATTTTCCCAGCTAGCTCAAATTGGACTAAAGCAACCGCCACTAGGTTGCAAAAAAAAAAAAAAACCAACTCACAATTCACATGATGTCACTTAAATTGTTGCTTTCCTATTATTATTGACTTCTCTATCCAAACATGATTAAATGCCTTGCATTTAGTCATTTACGTGCTTTTTCCTTTTCTTTCTTTTTCTTTTTCTCCAATTACACCCAAGAGGTTTGGTGTTGGGTAGTGGGGTTGGGGAAACTTTACATGATTGTCATCAAATTTAAAACATATGAAGGAAAGGTTACCATTTTTTATGTCTAATGGGATTAAATATATTTATGTATAACCAATTTGCAGTTTCATGATAAGCAAACATCTTGAATATTTACATTTTGGTCCATCTGAGACTGGCATCTTTTAAAGTCAACCATAAGCTTATTCAGTTTCTTATTGCTGATCCTCTGCTGGATTATCCTTGTGTCATTCTCCATACTATCATATGCCAAAAAAAAAAATGAAAAATGTTATGTAATGTATATATTATGTATACATAGGTGAAAGAATTGAAATAATAAGACCACAAATATATACACATAAAACTTATGGGATAACATTATTAAATGAGGCATATACCTTTGAGGGGGAGAAGACAAAGGGGACAACATTTTGGCAAGTTGAAAAGCATCTTGTTGTTGGTTAATGATGTGATTGAAGCACAAATATCGACCGTAGGTTGCTATTTCTTCATATACACAAATGTGGGCATCAACCAAGAAATCAAGATCGACGGTCACAAATACACCATCTTCATACATCTCAGCTGCTCCTTTAAGGTAAGGATTTGAGATTATTAAGTCAGGACACATTAACAGTCCTGCATTTATAGTAACCATGTTGATTCCTCTGTCCATTGCCAGTGCCCAAGCTGTCTTCTCTGCTAGTGCTTTCGACATAGCATGCCACAGCTGTAAATTTTCAAACCAAAACTACTTATCATTATCTGTAAACAATTCTATGACACTTTGAATTTTGCACTTAGTAAGTAGCTTTTACTGAAGGGGAGCCTTAGTCGGCGTTTGGACATAAGAATTGTAAAATTCCAAAAAGAAAAAATTCAAGTGAAAATAGTGTTTGAAAATTAGAGTTGTGTTTGGACATGAATATAATTTTTGGTTGTTTTTGAAGTTTTGTGAGTGTTCTGAGTGAAAATTTTGAAAAAAGTTTTTTGGAGTTTTTCAAATTTTCGAAAAATTCCAAAATTCATTTTCAAGTGAAAATTAAAAATTTTATGGCCAAACATTAATTCGAAAAAAAGTAAAAAAATTTCGAAAAAATGAGAAAAAATTCTAATGTCCAAACGGGCTTTAAAGCAACGGTATAGTCGTTTTTGAGTGACTTGTAGGTTACGGGTTCGAGCCGTGGAATCACTCACTAATACATGCATCAAGATAGGCTGACTATATCACACCCTTGAGGTGTGGCCCTCTCTCGGACCCTGTGTGAACGCAAGATGCTTCGTGTATCGACTACCCCTTTTCTTTAATTAATAAGTAGTACGTCAAGTATTCCTTTTTCTTTTATTATAAAAATCATTCACTTAGAAATAAGACCGTGTAATGAATTTTTACACTATTAAGTTACCTAAAATATAAGTAGAAATAACGGTTCATAGTAAGTAATACTAATTAATACCCTAACGAATAGGACATGTAACCTTTACAATATGTTAGAATACATAGATAGTATAAATACGCTATTGGTGTAGGTAAATCAAATCCTTTTACAAATCACGTTTAAACCGTCATCTCTACATGCAATTAGGACGGTGGATTTATTTCAATAAAAGGTAAAAATAAGGAAGAAAAAGAAACACATGATAAGTATGCCATAATATATCACACTCACCTTGAATTTACGACAAAAGTTGATGTCAGTCCAATGTTTTTCATCAACATAATCCGTGGATGCAGATTCTTTATCGTGTCCCCAAATAATAGCAGTTGCAGAGGAAGTAAACACAACTTTTTCTATGGTGTCTGTTTGTGCGCATGCTTCCAATACATTATGTGCTGCCCTCACCTCCACTTCTGCCATATCTTCCTGTCATCGTACGTACACTCTTTTTTATTAACTAATCAAATAATGTTTGACCTAGTATCTGCCTAACAACACAGGGATGAGCTGTTAATAATTACTAGATTCTGTAATTTTTCTTTAATTACCACAAGCTGACAGCAGCAAATAGTTAGACATATATAATATCGTACGAGCAGGGATAAGATTATGTATTTTGATTACTAGATTCATGTTATACATATTAACAATATGTAAATAATTTGGATACTATTAGAGCGATTGAACTGATTTTTAGCAAGTCTATCACAATATATATTTTTCAGATTTACACTTTACTCTTACTGTATCAAACTTGCTACGAAAAGTTACTACATGTTTTACACCATCAGTACAATTTAACTTATTATAGTACGTTACACTATATTTTTCAGTTTAACATGTTAGACATACGATGAAAAGTTATCTACTGTTGCGGGCAAATATTATGTGATAGTGTAATAACTTATATATTGTTGGTACATAGAACATAAATTCATTGCCATTAATTACCACCCAGACAACAGTATTTAATGATCACAAAATCCATGATGGATCAAAAAAATTACACCCTCCGGTTCAAAATAAGTGATTTTTTGGCCTTTTTTTTTGTGGTCCAAAATAAGTGATTTTTCCAGATTTCAAGAATGAATTAATTATTTTTTTTCTACATTGTCCTTGGAGTAAATAGTATTGGAATATGTGTTAGAGTTTTATGTGAGATAGTAAAGGTTAATATGGTTAATTCCATTGCTAATTAATGTTAAAAGGTAGATTTCTTAATCTGTGTGAAAACATACAAAAAAATCACTTATTTTGGACCGGAGGGAATACAAGGCATGCTAGCTGTAGAAATTAATTACAGAAAATGAAAGAGCTAATTAATTAAAAGAGTATGCTTACATCGTAAGTGGGATAATCTGAAGGAGGGTGAAACGAGTAGAATAAACCAGAACAACCCTTCAAAGCAGCAAGTAAGCTATGGTAATCAAAAGGGTCAGACTCGAAAATCTTCAATTTCTTCTTCTTATCACATTCAATCCCCTTCAGCGACAACGTCGACTCCCCTAATATAATGAATATATCATAACTCGTTAATTAGTCGTAATATTAATTGAAGAAGGAATGAAATTATATAGAGAAGGATATATAGTAGCTAGTACTGAAGCTCTAACCATGATTTTGAACTGCAGCATGAACTGTATAACCTCTATTGAGAAGACGCTTTACTAACTTCGTACCTAAGCGACTGGAAGCGTCCATTACACATATAATATTGAATATGCAATTATAAGAAGCTGGAGCCATGAAGATAATTAATATTTGCAACTTAGAAGAAATTAAGGAAAAGTATATAGAGAGTTTGTAGGAAGATCTCCGTATATAAAGCAAAGTGAAAGAGAAGGTAACGAGATGGGCCCAGCCAGCCCAATAATAGGAGGTATTTTTTAATTTTTTTTTTTTTTTTAACTTTTTGGTTCTAAGTGGGACTCATAAATACTATAAGTGCAAAATGGAAAATTTGAGACTTGCACCGTAATTATGTACAATGAAATAACAACTACGTACGTAACTCCATCCTTATCCACGTTATGTGTCAAGGTTGAGAGAACGTCAAAGTGTTTAATTTTAATAATTCAACTAAACTCCTTATTTTATCCATTTTACTCTTAATGAGAAGCTTTTATAACCACACAAAGTTATGGTCCCACAAAGCTTTACCCCTTAAGCTTATAAGACCACAAATTTCAAAAGTTTTTTTTTTTTCTTAAAATCCGTGCCGAGTCAAAATACCTCATTTAATTTGAAACGGAGGGAATACTATAAATTACTCTCTCCCTTTCATATTAAATGAGGTACTTTCCTTTTTAGTTTGTTCCAAAACAAATGACACATTTCTACATTTGGAAATAATTCAACTTTAAGCTCCTCATTTTACCCATTTTACCCTTAATGAGAAGCTTTTATAACCACACAAAAGTCATGGCCCCACAAAGCTTTACCCCTTAAGCTTTTAAGACCACAAATCTCAAAAGTCTCTCTTTTTCTCCGTAAACTCCGTGCCGAGTCAAAGTACCTCATTTAATTTGAAACGGAGGGAGTATTATACTCCCTCCGGTTCACAATAAGTGCCCAATTTACTTTTTCACTTTGGTTCAAAATAAGTGTCAAGTTATGTAATCAAGAAAGAATTCAATTTGTTTTTACAAAATAACCCCTATGTACATATCCCTAAAAAGTTTTCTTACTCCTCACATTAAATGTTTAATTAGGGGTAGTTTAGTCATAGTAGTTATTTTTGTATAGAATTTAGTATTTCCTTAATGGGCGTGCTAAAAGTAAATTGGACACTTATTG